ACTTATATATTTTATCTCATCTCTTATCTCTTTATGTTTTTAATTATTAAATATTCAAAAATATTTTTAAAACTAATAAATATTATCTAATATTAATTTTTCAAATTATTAAATATTTAAAAATTAACTAATATTTATTTTTATAAAATTTAATTTAAAAATCTCAACATATAAATATATTTTAAAAATCAATTTTATCATGGTGGAATCAAATTATCATATCTAACTTAATAACTTAAAATTTTAAAAATTACAAATTGACTTATCCAAATAAAATATTTTAAGAATGCTAAAAATTGAAATCAAAATAATTCAAATACCAAAAATTTCAAATTCCTTGAATTTGAAATTCAAACATTTATAATTTTTTTTAAAAATAATAAAATTTCAAACTATCCTATTTCTTATGTTTTTTTTCTTAAATTTTTTCTCTCTTTCATCTCTCGTACTTTCTCTTCCTTCTCAATTTCTCTTTCTCTCTCTTATTCTCATATCTATTTGTCTCTCCCTCATACCTCTTCTACCTCTCTTTCAATGACATAAAATATATTTTTTAAAAATTTAAATTATTAAATTTTTTTCTAATATTCATTTTTAAAGCTGTTAAATATTTAAAATTTCACTAATATTTATTTTTATAAAATTTAATCTTAAAATCCCAACATGCATATAATTAACTTTATCTATAATAAAAATCAAATTATTATATACAAATTAAAAATTTTAAATTTATGAAATTTGAATTGATTTATTTAAATAAAACAAAATATGTACATCATAAGGGTGAAATAGAGAAGAAGCATTATAAATTCACAGGAAAATGAAGTTAACGATATAGATTCTCTTCAGATAAAAATTTAGAAGAATTTTTTTAGAGTTTTTTTATTAAAAAATATTATTTATTTTTAATGGATAAGCTCTGAAAAGTGTTTAACTTGTATCTAATTAAATAGTTGATGAATTTACCGCTCTGCGAAGATGCACAATGGGATTTCCATTAGCGTCAATTAAAAAGAGGTGTTGGCGGGGTGTTACAAAGGTAACCAGATTGCTCTGAACAGTAAAAACGATGTTGCCATTAACGTCTGTCACAGTGAAGTTATCACCTATAGTCCTTTCCTTTGCGATTATCAGATCAACGGGATGTGGACCTGTTATTATATAAATGTAATTAACCAATAAAACCACTCATCATGAGATCCAATCAACAAATATCTATGTAAATTAATACTGATGTATTCAAATATTTTTTTATTAATCAAAAAATTATAATAATAACAACAATAAGAATGGATTTAAATCTTCAAATTCATTCAAACACTCAATTATTATCTAAATCCGATATAAACCCACTTCAAGATGGAGTATAACAATTAAAGATGATGATGAGATTGTTTAAGACAAAAGTAATTAACAGAGAAAGATAGTAATATAGTTTGATCATCATATAAGGAGAAATCAAGCAACCATATTTGCAACTAAGTATTAATTGTATATATATATATATGCCAAGAAAGAAAAAGAACATTTTAAAACAAATTTGTTGTTGAGCATGCACTATATTGATAGAGGTTGGTTTATAATATAATATACCTGGGGAACAGTAGTGAGGGCCAATGATGGGGGTGGCAAAGGGTGGTGATTGGTTTGCCATTGAAAGAGTGATGGAAGAATACGAGTTTCGTTTATTATGTTGCTAAGCTAGATGTTAATTTGGATATACAAGAGCTTTGTTATATATATATACATATGTTATGGGGTCTGAACTCTGAAATGATCAACCATGACTCGGTTGAACTTGAACCGCATTTTCTGACTTCTTCGTTGCGTTACGTCTAAGGAATTTCGATCAGAACTTGGAAAATGACAAATGAGACTTTTCCATGCACAAGGTAGGAAGTGTACAATAATTGACAAGTTGGAAAATTTACACGTTATATACTTGTTTTGATTAATTAAATAAATAAATAAAATCAGACAAAAATGTTAAAAGGTGATTTTTTTTTTTAAAAAAGAAGCTTTCGTAATTGGAAACAGTAGCACATGTTAACCGAATAAAAAAAGAGTAATTTTATCATACCCCTATATATTTAAAGAATTTTGAAACAATTTTTTTTTTTTTTTTATATTTTAGAATAGTTTGATTTGTTTATTTTTTTCATTTAAATATATATATATCTATATATATATATATATATATATATATATATTCTTAAAATTATATATATATATATGAAACATTTAATTTATTCAAGATTTTTTTTATATAGTATGAGTCATGATAAATTGAGACTCTTCATATATTTGTGTGTAAATTTTGAGAAGCAAGTTGAATAAAAAATTGCAAAATTTTTCTCTACTACAACAAATAGAATTTTATTACATTTTTCTCAAAATTATTTTAATTTTTACCAAACGATTTGAAATACTTGAAATAGCATTCGATGAAAAGAAAAAGAATAAGTTAATTAATTAGATGATCTATTTATCAAGATCACATCACTTAGTGTAGAAAAAAAATGAAAGTAAAAAAAAATTATATTTTAAATATTTTTATTAATATAAAAAATTGACCATATCAAAATCTTAATTTAAAAGATTAACGTAGTGTAGTAACCTAATTTCGTCCGGAAAATATTAATTGTTTTTAAATAAAAAATAGCAAATATACAAGAAAAAATAAAAAAAGATAAAAATATGGAAGTCAAATGTAATATTTCAATTTTCATACTTTTGTGGAGGGTAATTTAGTAATTTTAATAGCCCAGAACGGGTCGTTCCCAAACTGGAACGGTCCGTTTCAACCTCCCAAAAAGACCTACAATTTCTAGCCTGGAACGGGCCGTTCCGAAACTGGAACAAGCCGTTCCAAACTTTCAAAAAAGAGCTATAAATTCTAGTCCAGAACAGGCCGTTTCCAAACGGGAACGGACCGTTCCAACTTTCCAAAATGATCTATAAATTCTAGCCCAAAACGGTCGTTCCAACCTTCCAAAAAACCTATAAATTCTAGACCAGAACAGGCCGTTCCCAATCTGGAACGGACCGTTCTATATATGGCCGTTGTGAGTAAAATTGCAATCCTATAATGGTCCGTTCTAGATTCAGAACGGGCCGTTCCGGTCACCCTAAAAGTCTATAAACAGTCGCATCTTGGCCTTCCCAAAGGCCACTCCCCCACGCACACACACGTACATCTCCACTTTGAATTTTTTCTTCTTTTTCTACACTCTCTGAAGACCAGAGGGAATCCAGAGGAAGAGACCAGCAAGTTAGCACTTCTTGAGCGAGAAATTGTAAGTATATTGAACTCACTTCTTTTTATTTTTTATTTTCTTTTTTATTTTTTATTTTCTGTTTATATTAGTAATATCTGTCATTAGTCCTTATTTAAATTCAAATGTGATTAAATATCAAAATATAGTTTTACAATATTCAATATAAATATTTGAAGTTATTGTATCAAAAATTTTATTGGAGAAATGGTCAATTAGATGTTACATCTTTTTAACCTTTAAATTTAAAGTACAAGTTGTGACAACTTATCTTTAAATTTTTTCTTCAAAAACAAAAATGTCCAACCAAAAAATCTTTTAAGATAATAATATCTATAGCAATAATTATAATTAAAATTTTATTGAGTTGACTTTAATGTACATCTCAGTCAATTTTATATTTTAGGGTGAATGAGCTCAGACAGTTCAAAAATCTTAAATTTAAAATTTAATTAAAAAATATCAACACACAAATATTTTCTACAAAGAACTACGTGACTCTGATTCTTCATTATACATGCAGATACGTAAGAGTAAAAAATAAATTTTGTCGAGCCAAAAAAATAAAAAAAAATAATATTGTCTTCCTTTTTATATAATAATAATAATTTTAACCTTTTTTAAATGCATTAGTTAAATCAGTTAAATAAAATATATTTGATCATTATAGTTAATTAATTTAGGATGAGATAAATATTTTATAAATAATTTGTTTAATTAATTAAAGATAATCGTCTTAGGATGAACGTTGTGAAATGTTAATACCTTCCTTACACGTAATCGATTCCTGAACTCAAAATTTTGATTTTTGTAAACTATTTTTTATTTTATAATTTATAATATTTTTCTATAAAAAATAATATTAGTGGCGACTCCTTATTTTTTATTTATTTTTATCATCCCGTCGCGATCTCACGACGAATTCTTTTATGAATTACGTGGAAGCATATTAATCAGACAAAAGGATTTCGCAAGATGGAAACATGTTTCGTAGAGACCCCGCGAATGTCGACATAAAACAAAATGCCTTCTTGTAATGTACCATTACGATAATAGCAAAAGAAATAATATATATATATATATATATATATATATATTACTCGCGACAGTTCCGATAGAACAAATGTTGTTTACTGGCTGTAGTGACATCTTCATCGATGTCATGTGTCCCAACTGAATGTTTTTAGTGAAAAGAATTAAAATAAATAAATAAATAATGGAAGGGCTGTTGATGGATTGATTAGGAACACTCCACGCGACTTTTTTTTAATATACCAATTTTTCTTTTAATTATTTAAATAACTTGAATGCATTTATATTTATCTAAATAACTCATTTAAAAATTTAGGTGAGAAATCGGTTACTGGGTAACCGATCTTTCAAAGGGATTTTTGAAAAATTTTGAAAAATTCCTTCGAAAAATTAGTTACCCAATAACCGATTTCTCACTTGGTTTTTTTTCTTTCAGATTTTGTAAAAAAAAACATTATTCACTTTTTGATTTTCAGATTTTTTTAAAAAGTATAATTAATTTTAATAAAATATATTTAATATTTAAATTAAATAATTTATAAAAGATAATAATTAATAATAAAATTATATTATATTTATTTATAAATATTTTAAAAAAGTGTTAAAAATAAATAAAATGTTAAAACTTATTTATTATACTAAATTTTAGAATTATAAAATGAATTTTATTATTTAAATTAAATTTATTAAATATAGAAAATTAAAAACTGTAATATAATAATAAATATATATTAAGTACACTAATTTTAACGGTTACATCATTAAAATGAAAATAACTTTATAAAAAAAAGACACAATTTAAACAAACTTCAAACATAATAGATAAATAACATAAAACCTAAATCATATAACATTAGTTGTCTAACTTCATTGCTTGGTCAAAGGATTTTTTAATCGCTTCCATCCCATGCAATAATCCAATATATGTCGTCGTAGCATACAATTCGAGACTTGTTAAGTCGTACAGTTCTGTGAACAATGAAAACATACACTTTACATCTTCATCATCCCTAAGACGACACGCTATATATTTATATACACCACCGATACATGAATTTGGGTATCGATAGTGAATATCTATGACAACTTTGTAATGAGGAAGATTAAGGTTATTATTAATAACCTGCTTAAGTTGTTGATAAGTCATCATGTTGCTTACCAGTAGGGTTTTAACCTCGTTGCTAACAAATGTATCTCCATGCTCAGTGGAGACAATTTGTCCATCATAATAAATAGTGGCTGGAACATTTAACGACTCCATTGATTGGATGTTTCAATCTGTTGCATTTTTTTAGCCTGTGTTTAGGGTTTATATAGAACTAAAGCAACCTAATGTGGACAAACGTAAAGTCATTGGATTCCTGACGCTCACAAAGCATTGATTTTTCTGATGTTCTGGGACCAAGGCAATGACACTCTGCACAAAGCATTGATTTTTCTAACACTCTGGGACAAAGTAATTGATGACACTGCACAAAGTCATTGGATTCCTAACGCTCTGGGACAAAGCAATTGATGACACTTTGCATCAATTAGCAAATCTGAATATTAAAAATGAAAAAGAAAGAAATTAGCAAATCTGAAAAAAAAAAAAAAACAAAACAAAAGTGAATAAAATAAAACAACAAAAAAAGGTTAATAAATATTTTAAATTTTCATTATATTTTTTTTAAATCTAAATATTATAAACTGAAAAAAAAAAATTAAAAATCTGGAAAAAAAAAATCAAAAAACAAAAAAACAAAAACAAAAAATGAAAAGAAAAAAAAAACCAAATGAGAAATCGATTACTGGGTAACCAATTTCTTAAAGGGATTTTTCAAAGTTTTCCAAAAATCCCTTTGAGAAATCGGTTACTGAGTAACCGATTTCTCACCTAAATTTCTAAATGGGTTATTTAAGTAAATATAAATACATTCAAGTTATTTAAATAATTAAAAAAAATTGGTATATTAAAAAAAAAAGTCCACTCCACGGTGACCACCTTCAAAGTGAAGAATTATTTTTAAAACAACTTCACTTCAGTAATATGTTTTGAAAATTAATCAAGTGTGGTCAAAAAGCCATAAAAATCTTATAACTTAATATGTTTTGCTAAGTGGATACATAAAATCTTTAAAATATTTATTTTCTATAAATTTTAAGAGGCTAAATTGCATTAAAAATGAGGCTAACTTAAAATATTGGTCCTTTTTTTTTAATTTTATAATTTTAGTTCTTTAATTTTATAAATTTATAATTTTTGTTTCTTCGTGAAATATTTATCTATTGATCATTAAAATTTTAATATTAATTATTATCTATCATCTAATATAAGTAGGTGACATAATTATTAATATTTAACAAAATTTAAGAAAAATATATTTTTAGTAATTTTTTTTATCTTATTTTCATCTCATTTTATTATTTTTATAAAAAAATAAAAAATAAATATAAATATAAAAATTTTAATTGTTGTAACATTTAGTTAATATCATGTCATGATTAACATTGTAATTTTAATGATAAAGGGATGAATGTTAAATGGTCAAAATTATAAATTTATAAAATTAAAATATTAAAATTACATAATTAAAAATAGAAAAACTAAAATTCAAGATTTAATATAATAGGAAGATAAAAATATAATTTAACCCTTTTAATAATGTATAAAAATAAACATTAAAAAACTAATTATAAATGAATTCTAATCTTTTACTACATTGGTCCTTTATTATACGACTAAAATTTCTTAATTGGCTTTATTTTTTTATAAGATTCAATCATGTCTTAAACATTAATTATTTTTTAAAAAATACATTTATTAAATACATTTGTCGAATTCAATAATCAACTGTAATTGATTTAATTTATATCTTTTAAAATACAAATAGTCTTATTTTTGTAAAACATATGTTAATAGTACATTTGACCCACCTTATTTATAACAATTTTTACTTATAAGTAAAAAGCCAAACACATTATACATGTCACATTAATTTAGGAGTAATTGAAAAAGAATTAAAATATTTTTATCAATGACAACTAATTTTTGTTAATCTCAGTGAAACATGTCACATATTAAACCAGTTATGTCAGAGTTTTGACTATCCATTGGTTTTTCACTTTTTCGTTTGTATCCTCCGATTCTCCAAATTTTACGTCTCTGATGTTTCTCTGATCCTTGTCAAATCCAGATGGTGAGAAACCCTTTATCCAAGAGTGCCAACAAATACCTCAGAAAATTCAGAAAATGGCCACACTCTCCTTACAAGACCTCATGGCACCACACCTTTGGAGAACAACAAGCCATGCAAATCCTCAAACAAGCAACCCTTGAAATGGGTTCTCCCCACTTACCCCAAACACAAAACCTTCACCACCCTTTTCTCCTTTCCACTCTCCTTGACTCCTTCAAAGCATACAGCACTGCCCCAACTCCAAAAGCTTACTACTTTCTCATCAAAACCCTAACAAGCACCTCCCAGTTACAGGACATTGCTCCTGTTCTGGACCACCTTGAACACTCGGAGAAGTTTGAGACACCAGAGCTTATCTTTGTGCACCTTATTAGGTTCTATGGTCTTGGTGACAGGGTCCAAGATGCTGTTGATTTGTTTTCCAGGATCCCCAGGTTCAGGTGCACACCAACTGTTTGCTCATTGAACCTGCTTCTCTCACTGCTTTGTAGGAAGAGAGAGTGCCTCAAAATGGTTCCCCAGGTCTTGCTGAAGAGCCAACACATGAACATTCGGGTCGAGGGATCGACGTTTCGGGTTTTGATCAAGGCCTTGTGTAGAATTAAGAGGGTGGATTATGCCGTTAAGATAATGAGTTGTATGATGGAAGATGGGTATGGTTTGGATGAGAAGATATGTTCTTTGATAATTTCATCATTGTGTGAGCAAAAGGATTTGACTAGTGTTGAGGCCTTGGTTGTTTGGAGGGATATGAGGAGACTAGGATTTTGTCCTGGGGTTATGGATTATACGAACATGATTAGGTTCTTGGTGAAGGAAGGGAGGGGTATGGCTGCTTTGGACATTATGAACCAGCAGAAAGAAGATGGAATTAAACCTGATGTTGTTTGTTATACTATGGTGTTGAGTGGGATTGTGGCAGAAGGGGAGTATGGGAAGTTGGAAGAACTGTTTGATGAAATGCTTGTTATTGGACTCGTTCCTGATGTTTATACTTACAATGTGTATGTAAATGGTTTGTGCAAGCAGAACAATGTGGATGAGGCACTTAAGATTGTTTCTTCTATGGAGGAGTTAGGATGCAAACCGAATGTGGTTACTTACAACACTTTATTGGGTGCTTTGTGTGTGGCAGGGGATTTAGGTAAGGCAAAGGGGCTAATGAAGGAGATGGGGTGGAAGGGTGTTGGGCTCAACTTGCATACATATAGGATCTTGCTTGATGGTTTGGTTGGGAAAGGTGAGATTGGTGAAGCTTGTCTTTTGTTGGAGGAAATGTTGGAGAAGTGTTTGTTTCCTAGAGCTTCAACATTTGATAACATCATATTTCAGATGTGCCAAAAGGGCTTGATTGCTGAAGCGATGGAATTGACCCAGAAAATTGTTGCAAAAAGTTTTGTTCCTGGGGCCAGGGCTTGGGAGTCACTGCTTCTTAACTCGGGATCTGGCATTGGGTATTCAGAAACCACATTTTCTGCCTTGTTGGGCCCAAATTAATCTCAGTTGTCAAACTGGCCCGTGTAAAGGATCTGATATTGAAATTATTTAGGCTCTCTTATAGATTTAAGAGTTAAACCAACAGCAATTTCTTTTTTTTCTTTCCACAATTACAATAACAGTAATAGAGTTCAAAAAATACTAGTGTATTAGATTTGGACGAATAATGTTAAGAAAATGATCATGTTTTTAGTGAATTTAGAATATTGTATAGTAAAATATTTTGTTGGGGGTAATGTATTTAGAAATTATTTAGAATTTTAATATTTTTGTCAGGTATTTTAATTAACTTAAATTATAAAATTTCAAATTTCATAAAAGAATTTGAAATTCCTCAACTTTCTGTGTTTCCTCTCGCAGTTCGTTTCTCTGGCTCTCTCATTTTGTGCATTTCTTCTCGATCAAATCTAAAGTTCATTGCTTCTATATGTTTTTTGTTATCTGATTTCATTGATTTGTATTTCAATTTTAATTTCATTGACCTTGATTTCATTGTATTCCCTTGAAAATAAACTGCAACCTTGGTTCTCTTGGTGCAAATAAGAAGTGACCTCTAACTCCTCGACATGGTCTTAATCCTTCCATTCTTCTCAATCTAGAGTTTTTGGTTATTATATTTTATAATGCAATATCTATTTTTTCTATAAATTGATATATCAAGTTTTCTTTAACTGTACCAGTGATTAATTTGTTCCGAATTTGCTTTGCAATTTTTGGAAACAATTATTTACTAAATTTAAAACATAATGGTTTTCTCTCAAGCTGTATTGAGTTGGGCATGGATAAATGCAATTTCATTGACATTTCAATACCCTTTTTCTCATTTCTTTCATTTTATTTTATAAAGTATTGGTTACTATTCTTTTTTCTTGGGGTTGTTATTAGAATCTTGAGATTATGATAACAACTTAGTCAAGTAATTCATATTTCATGGCCTGATATGCAAATAACATAGTATCATTACCTAACAATACTGTCACATCTGCTATGGGTATGTCAATTATTTACAAAATCGAGGAACTTGATATTTAACACTCAACCATAAATCATAGTAATACGCTGTCTGCATTGATAGCTTCCACAGAGGCTAAGCAACATCAAAGCAAAAAAAAAAAAAAAAAAAAAATTGAAATCCTCCACGGGTATAGAACAGAAACAAAAGGCATAAATTGAGGTCAAGTAGTATGCCCCAGTCCTTAAACAGAATAGTAGTTTTGAAGCCTGGCACTGTTATTGTGGAAACAAGCTTTCGCTTCCCAAATGTTAGGCCTTCACATTTTGCCTTTGGTTGTATAATGAGAAAATTGAAGCGTACGTGTCATGCGAGTAAGGAGACAAGAACAGTAAAAGAATTGGAAATTTCTGAAAGAAATTCACAAATTAATGCCCATACTAATACTGGAAAAAGCTTTAATCCATATTTTGATTTGAAAGGGACAATATTATCTGATGAAGGATTCTGAGTTATGTAGGGGGGCAGGAAGCTGCTTCATTTGGTAAAAGTTGCAGTAAGAACGCATACAATATTATACTTCAGTGGCCCTTCAAAGCAAAATATATTGAACAATCTTGTCCATCTCAGATGTTGAAGTGATGATTTGAGTAATGTAAACAATGCACAATCTCTCTAGTGAGATCAATTACACAAACTCTCTTGGTCCTTGCATAGGTACTGTGAGAACAGTTCCATCACTAAAAGAATGAGATATTACATTTATAGCAACTGGTCCCCAGAACCAGCTTCCAAAAGGAGAAAAAGAGGTTCCTGTAATTTTTTGGGACTGAAAATCAAGAATCCACAAGTGGCCACTGTTCATATACATATTGATAAGTTGCACCACCTTTTGGTGAAGAATTAGTCTAAAAAATAGTATTCCTGGCGACAATTTACATGCACATTATGATATTCCTAGAGTATTTAATCCATCAATTTGTTCGCATGGTCTAAGAAACTTCCAAAATCTTGTTACAATATATTTATATTAGATAATAAGTGGATATAATTTCTGAACCAGATGGCAGATAAGGACAGACATACTTTAAAAGATTTTAAAGGCATATTGTAATGTATATAATATAAAATAGAATAGTGTAATGTAAATAAACTATATATTTATATTTATATTATGAGAAGAGATCTTTTTACTTTAGGAGTAAGTATACTTAAACTTACTTTGTTTAATAATTTATGTTCTACATCAAATTTCAACGATCTAACCGTTCAATTTAAAGTTCTTAATGTATAGATCAAATTTGTAAATTTTTAAAAAATTTGAAAATCATTTGATACTTCGTTTCATTAATTCAAATCTATGTATAAAATGATTTTATGATTATCCATCAATTTGAATTAATGAAATGAAGTATCAAATGATTTTCAAATTTTTTAAAAATTTGCAGATTTAATCTATGCATTAAGAACTTTAAATTGAACGGTTGGATCGTTAAAACTTGATATAGAACATGAATTATTGAATAGAATAAGTTTAGATAAACTACCCTTAGAGTAAAAGGATATCTCCTCTTATATTATATATAATATATTTTCGTAGTGCAAATATTGCAATACATATATAATATAAAATAGAATAGTTTTTTTTAGAGGATAAAATAGAATAATTTAATGTAAATATATATATATATATATATATATATATAATATAATGTAATTATACATTATGTGATTAATGATATTTATTTCTTTTATATTTGTAGAATTGTATATATATTAGTTATATTTATATAAGTATTTATTTGCCTATCTATATTGTATAAACATTTAATATAATATATACAAGTTCTTAAAACAATAATGTATCCATGTGAAATGCATTAATTTCAGACGGATTTTAATTAATATATCTGCATCATATAAATATATAATATAATATAATATAATATATACAAATTCCTAAAACAATAATGCATCTGCGTGAAAATCATCTCTAATTTTGAACAAATTTTAATTATAAACGTAAAAATTAAAAAGGTTGTATAATTTACTTGAACTGTGTATGAAATTTGAGAAAAACATTTAACGTAAAATTGAGACACAAATTATTAATAATACTTGGTTGGAGAGAAAAGAGAAGAAGTGGGAGAGAAATTTTTATAAACTTTTGTTATTTTGTTTAATTTTTAAGGGGATGGAGGAGAGTAAAATTGTTCATCTAATTTTAACTATCCTCCAATATCGAGAAATTTAGAAGGAAAAAAAAAGGAATTTAAAATACTTCTAGTATAATAACTTAAATATTTTCTTTTAAATTCAAAAGTATATAAGGTTATAACTTATAATTAAAGGTAAATTATAGTTATAAATTTACTCTAATAATTTTATTTCTCATTTTTATCTCATTGTCACCTCATTTTATTATTTTTATGAGATAAAAATGATAAATAAGAGTAAAATTAAGCTAAAATATTAATAAATTTTGATTGCCGCATCATTTACTTAATGACATATCATGACTAACATTATAATTTTAATGATCAATAGATGAATATTTGATGATGAGACCAAAGCTTAAGATTTTAATTATAAAATTAAGGAATTAAAATTACATAACGTAAAATAGAAGAACCAAAATTGTAAATTTGATATTATAAGAGAACTAAAAATGTTATTTGACTTTTAATTAATATAAGATATAAATGTAGTGTTATTCATAAATATTAAATATAGTTATCTTAAATAGGGCTATAAGTGAAAAAATAATAATAATTAATGAAACATGAATTTATAAAACATGTTTCAAAATTAAAAAAAAAAAAAAAACTAAAACTATTAAGTTAAAAAGACGATATTGGATTTCTAAGTTTTGAGATTTTAATGTTAAGAAACAAAATGTTTTTATAAGAAAAAATATCTTTGAAGATGTTTATAAGATAAAGGGTAAAACATATATTATTTATAAGACGATGTGAATTTGTGAGACATACAATTTGTCTCATATATATATATATAATGTTCGTTATTTATTGAGGCTAACAAAATTCATTTAAATGCTTTATTTCTTAATAGATCAAACTAGAAAATCATCTTAAAACTTATAAATTTATTAAAGAGAACAAGATCATGCTGTTCATCAAAATCAAGGATGAAGATTTCTAAAATCATGAAGAAAAATAGATAAATGTGTTGTTGTTACTGTCCTATGCTGACATTGCTTCTACAAACACCATTTAGTATGAAAAGATGATAAGTAGCTTCCTTAATCAGATAAGAGGTATCATTTGATGAAATACATTTAATCCTTGCATAATAAACAACTTAACGGCTACCTCCCATCACAAGAAAAAAATTGAAGATGGACAAAACAAACTTGTGAGTTAGACTCAAAGTGTTGCAACGATCATTTTCTCCAAAACTACTATACAAGAAGATTCAAAACTCAAGAAAGAAGAGAGACACATGTATAAAGATATACACAAAAAAACACACTATGTAAATTATACTTGTGCATAAACTTTATTCTTTCTTATAAAAGGCTTAGTACACTACATTGATTGTATAACTTTCTAAGTGAGACGAAAATAACATTTTTGTAACCTTTATATCTATTGTTATAAGGTTGAGTCTAGAGAGACTTGTCTATAAAACAATACTTGGTCAAGCTTAGAAAGACTTATTTGAAAAAAAAAACTTGGTTATTATGTCTAAAGTGTAACATCCCAAATTTTATTCAATGAAAAGAAATATGAGTCTTATGGTGAAAAAAATACTAGGATACTTCAATAATTTGCTTGAAGAGGCAAGTCAAAAATACTTAGTGTTGAACTAGAAGTGACTTGTTGAAAGAATATTTGTGTCTTTGTTGAAAGATAGTGGAATTTAATCTAGTTGAATTGATGACCGAACATATATAGTCTTGGTAGTCAAGATAAATCAATATAATAATACTTAGTGTTTATATAGTTTTTTTTATAATAATTCTCTGTTATTGAATTTGGTCCAAAGCAATGAATATATACAAAGACATTTTAACATTTCTTATACTCAAGGAATATTTTTATAAATAGCATAGCTAATCTAGGAAAACAAATAAACTAATATATAGGAAACTATATCAAGGAGATAACTCATCTTGAAATATTGTATCCTAGAAAATATTTATAAAGTTATTACAAAGATATTCCACTAATTACAAAGATATTTCACTAATAGTATTTTGCCTAATTTCATTTTGCACTTCATCTTACTAACGGTATCACCTCAATATAAAAAAATACAAATTTTTTGTACACATTATTCAACCTCTTCTTAATATTTATCTTTTTTTAAAAAAAAAATAAATTATTTAAAAAATTAAGAATGATATTTGAATATATAGACAATTGTAGCATGTATATTATCCCAATCTCAG